TGGGGCATGGGCCTGAACAAAGATTCTCAGTTGGGCTTTCAGCGCACTCAGCACGACCGCCGTAAGACAGAAACTATTTATTTCTTTAAAGATAGTTTGAAGAACATTGGATGTGAAAGAAGAATGGCTATTGGACCCATCAGGTGATGACAATGCTATACATTGTCTGTATAAATAAGATGACCATCTGTAGCTGGTACGGTACTGTGTAAAGTCTTGTTTGAAGTTTCTTTTTTGGTAAGGATATATGTACAAGACAATACATGTGAACTGTATAGCAAGGAGGGACATAACTTCTGGGCCTGTAAACTAGAATGTCAGAGTGACTTAAACCTGCATTCTTTCTAATGGCCAGCAGGGGGCAACTGCTGTCTGCAAAAAGAAGCGGAGAGACAAGTAAAGAAGTACCCCAGAAATTAGGATAACTTTTACACAACTAAGGTCTGCAGTTAAGACAAATGCTGGAGGTTAAATGTTGGGGTTGTACTGGGTCACATGATCCATATGCTTAGTAGAAACTCTTCTAATGAGTTTGTGGTCTCAATCAGTAGTTCCAAGACTTACTGAATAAAGCATGGTATTCATTTTGTAAATTATGTTTCCCATGAGAGCCACCAAAGACTTTCTGGCTTCAACAGTTTTGCTTCTCATTCGCTGAAAGCTGCCAGAAATCAATTGAATGCTCCTGGTATCTAGGGATCTTATGCATAATTGTGACAGGTGGAGCTTGCGTTGGTATCGGACTGTTGTGGTAAAGGGATAGCTCTACTAGAAGGGGAGGCATTCGATGTACCCATCCATCTACGTCCCAACCCTCACCCATGAATGTAAGCAGCCGAAATGAGTTTCCTCCATAGGCTGGCTGGGCTCTTTAGTCATAGTTTGTGGAGCTCTGATGTTTGGAGGGATCCCTGAATAGAGCCGCTACTCCTGCGTGTTCATTAGGAAGCCTCATGGAGGCTTTCATTTGGAGGCTTTCTGGGCACATCAGTTGGGTGAAGACCCCCAACCTGCTGGTGCAATTCTATATCTCGTCTGGTCTAGGAACACCTCGCACCCCAGTAGAAGGGACTGGAAAGTGTGGATAGAGAGAAGGACGTCTAGAATACCCTGCTTAGCCTGTTGTCAGCTTGACTGCGGATAAGTGGAAGATAATAGTGCCAGCACCGGCAATAACCATGCAAACACCTGCACAAGGCCCTAGTACAGCGGTTTGCTAATGAAATCATGATATGCAAATATCCAGACAGTGCGAGGGGGTGCTTTTGCAGTTTGGTATTAAAATAAAAGAAAAGTTGATCATTGCAGTGAATTGCAACAAAGTTATTAACAGGAAAGTAACGGGTAATAAAAGCTATCCTACCATGCCTGTGATAAGAGCGCCAGCAAAGAGGAGGCTTTTTAAAGATGTCTTTGCTTCTGTTTTTTTATATCTTCTACTCCTGCACTGGTGCTAATATATCGGGTCAATCTGAATGGCGAATACTGCAGTAAGTGCCCACGCCCTCTTTAACAGTGACGTCACTGTTTTTACGTTATAAGACCATTGCAGCGACCATAATCGGCTCTCTAGGGTTACATTTGTGAGTCAAAGCTGTCAAGTGGCTGTAATGTGTAATGTGGAAAACTAAAGTGGTAACCTGCCATAAACTATATCCATCCTTTATATATCTATAAGGGTATATAGCTATCCCATATAGTCTATGGGATAGAGCTGAGGAGTGGTCTTGTTGTGTTAGCACAGGGATATGTTGTGAGTGTGTGTTTCTTCCATGTGTCACATTCCATTTCACAGTGTTTCTCTAACAAGTTTATATTCATATTATTTAAGGAGCATCACTGCTATTTGTTCATGTGTCGTCTCGCCCTGTTCGTGTAGATAAGAGCTACGACTACGTGTTGGAGCCGTCCCCGGTGGCCCTGCCTCTCGTCGAGCCTCTGCAGACCAGAGTGGTTCAGGTTGCATGTGGCCGGGCTCACTCTCTGGTCCTCACTGACCGAGAGGGAGGTAAGAGACGCACACCTTCCGCACCAGCCTAAATCCAAACCCACAAAAAGCTGCGGAGCATGTCCCCCCCCCTGTAGAAACCTTTCAGCCACCTGTCACACCATGTGTCCATTTACATCATCCACCCACCGCCAACCAAAAATGAATCATTATCAGGCAGCTGTTACAGCTCATGCAGAAAGCTCATTAAGGTCTTCTGGTACATTCAGTAAATTAGCAGACTGATGTTCCAACACGCGTTTTACTTCATTCAAATCCTAATTTGTGAAAAGGCTTTTTGCCATTTTTGGTTGCCAGCCAGAATCATTTCTGTTTTTTAATTTAAATGGGCTTTTATTGTGTTTTGTTAAATTGCAGAGTGCTTTGTTGTGATGTTGTTTTAACTGGTGGTAATTTGCTGGTAGACATTTACTCCCAAGATTTGTGAGGCTAGTTTCTGACAAAAGAAAGATGTGTCACGGCTAACACACAGCGATCTACTGCGGTGCGTTGTTTTAAAGAGTACTGCAGCTGATATTTTAGATTTTTCTGACATGAGTATTTATGCAGTTATCTAAATTACTTGTATTATAAGTGGCCACCAAGTCATAAAAACAGCATGTATAAAATCATCTTGCAGGTTATGTTTCTGCTGTCCTTGATATCGCCTGTGTGACCAAAGCCTGGTGCACCTGTTTGCAGAGCATACAAAAAATTTAAGGTGGCGTTTAATTCTGTTCTGTTAAACTCAAACTATCCCTTTTTTAAACCTTAGTTTAAACAACATAGCAGATTGTTGTTGCTGCTAAATGTAATCGAAGTATTACAGCTTTTCATAACATGTACTGCAGAGTCCATTAAAGCTTTTAAAAACCAAATGTCATTTATTACACTTTATCTAAAACACTTTGAGCTTCTCAGGTGTTTCTTATTTATTTGAGAATCAGTTTTATTGAGGTAGAGTGGGACACATGCAATATATTGTTATATAATATCATGTCTAAAATTAAAAAATGAGTAATTCATTTACACAAATGACAAAAATAGGATAATTGAAATGTTTTATAAATGTTAATAAATTAAACAATTAAATTCAAAACAATTTTTTTTATATAGTGCCAAATCACATCAACAGTCACCTCACAAGGTGGTTTATGTTGTACAGTAAAAACACTACAATAATACAGAGAAAATCCCAACAGTCAGTGTCCCTGTTTAAGCAAGCACTTGGTGACAGTGGGAAGGAAAAACTCCCGTTTAACAGGAAGATGCTTCCGGTAGAACCAGGCTCAGGGAGGGGCGGCCGTCTGCCATAACTGGGGTGAGGGGAGGGAGAGGGAACAAAAGATACACTGTGGAAGAGAGCCAGAGATGAATAATAACTGATTAAATTGAAGTAAACCGTAAGATGGCTCAGATAAACTAGTCTTAATCATTAATATGACTTTACACGATGCGTCCTCTCACCCTCACACTCCTCTCTCTGTTCTGTCCTTTTCTCTAGTTTTCAGTATGGGCAACAACGCCTATGGCCAGTGTGGAAGGCGGATAGTTGAAGATGAAGTCTACAGGTGTGTCTTTCTGCATTCTGCTGCTGGTGAAATACACCAGCAATTTTCTGATGTCACAGAGAAACCAGCAGGTTTTGGCAATTTCATCAGGAGGCGTCTTTGGTCTCTATTGAAGCTTTTATTTTGGAAGACCGCCTTTTCGATTGAAGCCTATCCCAGGTGTCACAGGGCGAGAGGCTGTTTATCCTGCACAGGTCTGCAGTCTATAGCGGGGCTAACACAGGAAGACAGACAATCATTCAGACTCACAGTCACACCTATGGCTAATTTAGAATCAGCCACTAACAGTACATGCATGGAGGAGCCACACAGGCCCGGGGAGGGCATGTAGGCTCCCCACATTAACCTGATAGCTTTTTCTGCTATAGCTGTGACTTCTTCTTTAAATATAGTTTTCAAATGTATGTAGAAAACTGAAAATGTCACCTTGGGCTGTGACCCTCGCTTTGGAAATCACTGCTCTAACTATCGAAAACTCCCTTTGCTCTTTGCCTCGGTTACACATGCTGGCAGGAGGTTAAAGGAAGGCTGGCATGCTGCTGCGATCTCCTGGAGGCACTGCTATGCTTGGGTGATGAATCGGTCATTTCTCTTTCTTGCGTTTCAACAGCGGCAGTCACATCATTCACAAGATAGAGAGCTTCAGCAGCAGGGTCATCCAGGTGAGTGCAGGCTGTGTCTGAGCAGTGATGACAGACGGTTTTTCTGTCTCATTTCCCTCCCTTTCCAAACATTTGGTTGCTTCACATCCTGTCCAGATCCAGATTATTTTAAGCATGCTAACACCTGCCCAGTACGCGTATTAAAATGTCATTTGGTGCTGTTGCTACACTAATCACCACCTCTCAGAAGTCCATTCATTAAATTAGTCTTTTTTTTTCATGAGGTTGTTACTTGAATCGTATCTTTCCTGACGGATTAATTGAGCATTTGGCTTAATGTGACACCAACCACTGTGAAGTTAATGTGTGTTTTATTACTTTTCCCAGGTGGCATGTGGGCAGGACCACAGCCTTTTCCTCACAGAGACAGGAAAGGTGTTCGCCTGTGGATGGGGTGCAGATGGACAGACGGGTCAGTGCGCGTCGCATGCCATGAAACTC